GATCTTTGTAGCCTGAGAAGTGCTCACTTCTAATTGACCTTTTATGCCATAGTTATGCTTTCTTCTGCAGATATTCTGGTCATCAGACCAATTATAACTTACACATATTCAATAAGAGTAAGGTGAACGGGTTATGAGATGTTTCAGGAGACAGGAATTGCGCACCAGTTCAAGGGTGAATAGGCTGGTGGAATCTTGTCTCCCTTCTCTCCAACAGGAACATCCACCTGCTCTGGAGAGGGCTACTCAGGGACGCTTGGGTGGAAGAATCAATTAGAAAGAAGGTGGGGATGCCCAAAAAGGTAATTTCTATTAAATTCCAGGTTATCTCACAGCCAAAGTCTCTTACTCCTTTAGAGTGTGCTTCATTGGACACCAGAAGACATTTGATCCTAACATGCTAAAAAAGAGCTATGTAATCCAAATGAAATGCAGAGAAAAGTATCAATTATGATGTTATTTTGTAACTAGAAAGATGATGTAAAAAGGAAAATGGTAAATGTCTTATGTTCAGTTTTTGTTTGCATTAAGAAGGTTATTGTTATTTAAGTTTTAAAATGTAGATGTGAGCAACAGAAATACCAGGCAGTTCAGCCTTTCCCATCATTGTTAAAAGTAAGGTTTCCCCTATTTGCCTTTCTAGTCTAGAGGGTGTGGTCTTCTAAAACAGCTGTAATCCAGGCCTCTACAGAGGTACTCTCATTCTTAGCTAAATCTATGAAGCTTTTCAAGGACAATACCTTTCAAAAAAGTAAAGAGGCAGTTTAAAACAGTTCATGGGCCTTAGATTACCCTGATAAGTACATTGATGTCTTTAGACAATTTACTCAGACTTACGAACTAGATTGGAAAGATGTAATGTTAATCTTAAACCAAGCTTTGACGTCTATGAAAATAAAGGCATTACAAGCTGTTACTGCATTTGGAGAGGAATAACATATTGTTAATTTTAAAGAGCCAAGAAATAGACAACCAGTGGAACTTCCAGTTCCCACTGGAGCCCAAGCAGTTAGACCCCTGGTCACCTAATAGCCAGACAAACAACTAAAAAAGACATTTTCTTTCAAATGTGCATTCTTAAAGATCTAAGAACTATTACCAAGCCTTCTAGTTATTTTAAATTTTAGCTATTTACCAGGAGAAAGATGAACACCCCTCTGATTTCTTGTAATGTTTAATAGAGGCATTGGTAAAGCATACTTCGTGAGACGTTAATTCAATAGAGGGGCAGATGACTCTTACAAATAAGTTCATTACTCAGTCAGCTCCAGAAAAGAGTAACAAAAAATAGCTTTTGCTGCAGACAACTCATTTGATACTTTAGTAAAAACTGTTTAAGTGTCCTATAATTGGAACTGGGAAAAAAAACAGGCAGAGAAAACAAAAAAATAAAAAATGGCTGCCATTATTGCGGCCTCAAAACAGACCCTAAGACTGATTCTCTTGGCTCCAAGAAGAGCTCAACAATGAAGAGGTTCATCTGCTACTGCTGTCAGAAACAAGGCCACTGTAAGACGGACTGCCTTAAGAGGCCCACAAGCCATGCCCTGACTGCCAAGGCAGCCACTAGGAGTGAGACTGCACTCTGAGGCAGAGGCCTCAGAGCTCAGACTCAGCTTCCCAGGTGGTCCAGCAGGACTAAAGGCCCTGGGCCTGCCTCCTCCCTCTGGCCAGACAGTCTCTACCTGTTATCTCCACAGAGGAGCCCTGAGTAATCATAGCTAAAGGAAAAAAAAAAAAAAACAAAAACAGCGTATTGCTGGACACTGGCATAGTTCTCTTTGTCCTTCTCCAACCCTGATTTTCCTACAGTTGTGGTACCTCAATAAAAACAGACTTTAAAAGACATCTTGCTTTAGCTGTAACTGAGATATTACAATATATTCAGGTTGCTTACTAATCAAGATTATGCTAAGCCTAGTTTTTACAAACGCAATATATATTGTTGTTCATGTACAAGGACTTAAAAGGTATTTCATTGGTTTAATCTGACTAAATGCTATGTATTTCATGATAAGTGTATGTTAGTCTGGTTGATTTCTGATGTAATACAGGTATTTCATGTTGATAGTAAATATATGTGTGACCTCTTCCCTAAAGCTAGAGGGACTTACAACAAATTGTCATACTCCATGAATAAATGGGTCTAAGAGCTAGTGAGTTACCATTGCTAGGTCTCAAAAAGTTTATAAATGTACCTGTTAGCTCAAATGTTCATGCTTTGATTATAATGTGTTCTAATCACTCAAAAAATTTGTTCTTTCCTAGAAGATCATACAGGTAAAATCTAAAACCAAAGTTATATTTTGCTCAGTGGACCCCTGGTGTCTGACACAAGCTTCAGACGTTAGAAGGGTATACAGGAATGAATTTGTCTGAGTTAAGGTGTTTCATAGTAAAAAGGATACAGAATGGAATTATAGACGAAAAATAAAAATAGTGACACTGGCAGCCTAAGGGAGCGAAGACCAGTTAAGAAACCAAAAAAAAAAAAAAAAAAAAAAAGTTATGCTTTCCTAGATCCGAACAAAAAAAAGGGACATTTCAAGGAAAAATGTCCAAAGCTGCTGAAGAAGGAAAAAGAAGTGTTCATGATGGAGTCAGAAAAAGTTTCAGACTGAGGTGGTCATGGGTCTTCCCCTCTCAGCCTGAGGGAACCCGTGTTAACAGCCAATATTTAAAAAAAAAAAAAAAAAAAAAAGCCTGTTAGGGCCAGGGAGATGGCTCAGTGGAATAAGCGCTTCCCTGGCAAGCACAAGGGCCTGAGTTCCATTCCTGGTTCCGCAAAAAAAAAAAAAAAAAAAAAAAAAAGAAAAAGAAAAAGAAAAAAGTCTATTAGACATTTGTTAAAAGCTCATACAGATTTGTTGGTAGTTACCCAGCCAATGACCCCACTTATATTTTTTATTTTTTTTTTAGTGGAACCGGGGATTGAACTCAGACCCTTGCACTTGCCAGGGAAGTGCTTATTCCACTGAGCCATGTCCCCGGCCCCTGACCCCACTTATAAACTGGAGAGTACTTGGTGTTTTCCCTATTTCTGTCAATTCATGTGCCACAATAACAAAATTGATGAGACATAAAGGCCAATTTGTTTGAGACAATACCCAATGGCCATGGAAGATAAAAGGGATTAAACCCTACATTTAAGATATCTGCTAATGAACCTATAAAAAGTTCTAACTCGTCTTTTTCATAATTACCCTGTTGTGATTATTTGACTTGTTTCTTTGGCTTTGTCTCCTCCAGACTCAAAGCTATATGTTCATCCAAGAGAAAAATGCCTGTCATCTATTGAGGGCCTTTAGATAGAACCTCTAAAGAATACATCTGACTGCCAATCAACAACTACAACCCCTTTCAGCCTGAAGAAGCCAGAGCAGTCATCGCCCATGCTTCCCTAATGGCAGTTCGGGTTACTTCTTCAGAGGGGGAAATGTTACAGGTGGCCAAATAAGATAAAAATATTATAGGCAGTCAGACAGGGCCAGGCCCTCGAAGGAGACAGCAAAGAAGATGATGCCTTACAACTGTGGGAAGGGGCGGATGCTCCTGCTGTGAACCAGACCTACAGACCTAAAGGCCAAACAAATGCTAAAAGAGTAGCACCTGGGATTGATATTCTAAATAGGTATCGAACACCTGGAAAGACCCAAGTGAGTCACTAGCCCAACTCCCAACGGGAAGAGACCCTGTCCCGTATTCCAACTCACAACAGGAAGAAACCCTTCCTGTATTCATGGCTGCTTACTCCGTGACTGGTCCTGGGCATAATCAATTTTACCTGAGCAATGGTGCTTATAATCTCATTGGTTGACCATAGTTTTGTCCCACCCCACATCCACCTAAGCAAGTTCCCCTTTTCTCTACTTTAGCCCCACATGGTTTTACACTATAAAAGTCCCTGGAAAAGACAGCTTCCCAGGGAACAACATGTTCGGGGCCCCCCCTCCTGTCCCTCTCTTGGACAGGAGCTTTCTTTCTCTCAATAAATATATTCTGCTCATAAAAAAAAGGAAGTGTTGAATATGTTATAACAGGGATGAACTATAAAACATTATGCAAAATGAAAGATGCCAGACATACAAGTCCACATAGTATACAATTCCATTTATATACAACATCCAGAACTAAAAAACCTATAGGAAAACAAAACAGATTAGTGGCTGCCAAAAGGAGGGAAGAACTGGATGAAGGAAACACTAGCAAGTGTGCAGTTTCTTTTTGCTGAACTGTAAATGTTCTAGAATTAATCAAACAGAAACTGTGAGGTTGAAACTGAAATTACTTATAATTACCAAGAAGAAAATACCCTAAAATTAAGGTAGGGATGTTTCTAGGGAAATACTGAAGACAAAGCAAAAAACACTATATCCATGTCCTAAGTAACATTTTTTATTACAATCAAGCAACCAAATAAATAAAAACATAACCCTAAGTGGTAGGAGGGTAAACTATCTGGACATCTGGATATTTTTTATCTTTTCAATTTTTATTTCCTTTCCACTTTCCAGTAAATCACTAGGCAGCAGCAGGTTCTTGCCAGGAGCACACAACTCAACTGTGCCAAAGTCTCAAGCCTGCTGTACTCCCAGATATGAATGCATTATTAAGAAGAAATAAAGTACTGAGTATATTAAGACAACAAATTTTAGAAACAAAGCTATACTTATAAAACTAGAAAGAAAACACAATCAAGCTTGTTGTCAATTTTTTAAAATGACAAACCTGTAATAAAATTAATTTTGCTTCATTCATCATTTATTTATTTATTTGGTTGTTACATTATGTATTATTATTAAATGTGTTGCTCAGATTAACAGGTATAGGTATGCAAATTGAACAAATAATTGAACATTAACATTTGTTCTCAATAAACCTTTTTTCTTATCCTTTTCGCTTTTTTTAAACTTATTTTAAATCATTCATCATTTATAAAGGGAAAAAATCTAAATGGACTTTACAAATGAAATAAAAACATATTAGCCCCCAAGTTTTACCTTGCAAGTTCCTTTGGTCTGAACTTCCACCATGTGTCTGGTTCTCGGAAAAGGACTTTATATTTATGTTTCTGTGACTACATATAAAAGACAAAAACATAAGTAATTGTTTCCATAAATTATTTACATTATTTCTAAATTTACAGCATATTAAAAATGAAACCACCTCAAAAGATGTTTTGATAGGTACATTAAACTGATAAAACATACAGTATCTGTGACCTGGCAATTAATATCCAGTAATGTACACTATTGAAAAATATGCTAAGTAGGCCAGTGAGATAGCTCAGTGGACTAAGCATTTGCTTAAACAAGCGTAGGGACCGGGGTTCAATCCCTGGCACCACATGCCAAGCCAGCCCCACCCCTGGGTGCACTGAGCTGGCAATCAAGACCAGGCACAGTGGCACACGCCAGGAATCCCAGCACTGGGGAGGCTGAAAACAAGAGGATCACTATGAGGCCGAGCTAGATAGTGAGACCCTGTACCAAATTAATTAAAAAATAAAGAAAAACAAAAATATGTAAGAAGAAATATGGACACCTATACCAAACTTGTGCGCATACACATACATTGACACACATGAATGCTAGGATATCCAGTTCACTATTATTTGTAAGAGGAAAAATACTACATAGTAATTTATTAAATTCATCTTGTGTTAATGTGAGAAAGTCCATCCATTATTGAAATAAACAGAGCTCTTATTTGGGCAATTTGTATGTGCATAGAAAACTTCAGCAAAGATTTCCAAAAACACTATTAAAAGCATTTACCTGCAGGGAGGAGGACTTCAGGGTTTTTGGTTTTGTTTTGGGTTTTTTTTTAGTTTGAATATTTATCATATATATCCATTAACTTTTATAACTTTACAATTACTTCAGGGCTTGGGAAGTAGTAATTCCCACTGGTAGAGGGCTCATCTACTATGTGCAGGGCTCTGGGTTCAATCCCCAGCACTGCTAAATCAATAAATAAATGAAACTGTTAAATTATTTCAAATAATTGCCATTACATTTGTTTGCCAGCTTGCTCTTCACTCCATTTCCCTGCCAGCTAGGTCTGTACTTCCCTGTTCCCTTCTGAATGGGAACTAAGAATAGTTCTTTTTACTTTTAACAAAAGACAAATGAGAGGAAATAAAAAAATATGTGACAGAGGTTGTATGTGGCCCATAAAATCTAAAATTCTTACTTGCACTTCACAGAAAAGTAAGCCTACCTCATGGCCTACTAATAAAAAAAACAGCATACATCATGTTATAACAGAAACAAGGGTGAGGTGGATGTAAAAAGTGTCTAACTAGGCAAGGCAAAAAGCCAGGCATGGATGCACACTTGTGGGGAGGCTAGAGGACTGCAGGTTACAGTCTCACCTAGACCACTTGGCACAAAAGCCTCAAGACTGGAGTAGAGGGGGATGGGGAGATGGCTCAGCGGAATAAGCACTTCCCTGGCAAGCACAAGGGCCTGAGTTCAATCCCCGGTTCCACCAAAAAATAACAAAACAAAACAAAAAAAAAGACTAGAGTAGAGTGGAGGGTGTAAAAAGAGCAAGTCCATCATAATCCAGGCCAACCTGGGCTGTGGGAGGAGTGAAAACACTCCAAGCTAGAGATTAAAGAGTCTGGCAATCTGAGGGAATTGAAAATGAGTTTTCAGAATTCAGAATTTCTCAGAACAGCATCCTTTTTTTTAAAATTTGAATAACAAAGGACCACCGAATTTGTTGTTTAGTTTTATTTTTTGAGGCAGTCTGACTATGTAGTTCAAACTGGTCTTAAATGTATCAGTCTGGCCTCCAACTAGAGGCAACCACTCCCCCATGTCAGCCTCCTGAATGCTTGGATCACAGGTATGCACCAGCATGGGACCACTGAATTTTAATTGTTCCAAGTAAAAGAAGGTAGGGGTGTGTGTGTGTGTGTGTGTGTGTGTGTGTGTGTACACACTTAAAATAATTTAAAAATTTAGAAAAGTTATTTTCAGACAGTCTTGCTGGTATTGAATTCACTACATAGCCAAGGCTGGTCTCAAATTCCCAACAATCTTCCTGCTTCAGCCACCTAAATGCTGCGATTACCAGCTTGCACTAGCACACCAGATACCAAAACACAAAACAAGACTAGATTTAGGGCCAGGGAGATAGCTCAGTAGAATAAACACTTGCCTGGCAAAAAAAAAAAAAGATTTTAAGGTTTTAATTCTCAATATTTAAAAACTAAATAAATTTAGAATTATGGGGAACTCAGCTATATTCATTGTTCATTTTGATCACTGGAGACCAAAGAACTTAGAGTTCAATGTAGGCCAAGATTCTGAAATTCTCAAGTGCTTGAGATACACTTGTGTAAAAATTAACATCGGTCAATGATTCCAAGCTCAATATTAGAAAATTATGACAACTTATTGTACAAACCAAAGCAACATATGGTTTCATTTCCCATGCTTGTAGGTTTGTATTATCAATTATAATTGGTGATATCTTCTTCTCAAATGCTTCTTTTGCTGAAAAATATAAAATGACAAATCACTTTAATATTATCTTCAGTGATTTTTTTTCTTAATTTGAAAGCCATAGATATATACTAATTCTACTTACTATCTGACATAACTTCTAAGAACATGAAAAACTAAAGCATAGATAAATGTTCAATAATAAATGCAAATAAATACTATACTTAAGATGAGGTAGGACGATTGCCATGTGTTCAAGGTAAGTCTGGGCTACACTGTGAATTCAAGGCCAGGCTGAACTACATAACAAGACCCTGTCTCAAATAACCGAAATAAAAGGGCAAAGGGGTCTTTAGTGAAAAAGTTGAAATCCAAATGAAGTCTAGAGTTTAGTTAATAGTAATATATAACTGTTAATTTCTTAGTTTTGACAACTCTAACATCATTATATGTAAGACGTTAACATTAGAAGACAAAAAGGTATATACAGATACTCTCTATACTAGCTTTGCAACTTTTCTATAACTAAAATCATTCCAAAATAAAATTTAAAAGCAAACAAAACAGACACACAAAATAATGACCTAAAATAAAATATCATGTACGATATGTTATTTGTATAGGAGATATTCTTATAAAACTACCTTTCTTCCTCAAACATTCACACCATTCAGGAAATTAATAATATATCACAACAAGTAAAGTCTACAAGGTAATTATCTGGAAGTTTGAAAAATTCTGCTGTTTCTTACAATTCAATAATAAAAAGGCAGGGGCTGGGTAGACGGCTCAGTAGAATAAGTGCTTCCCTGGCAAGTGCAAGGGCCTGAGTTCAATCCCCAGTTCCACCAAAAAAAAAAAAATAATAATAATAATAAGGCAAATAACAGCACATAAAGATAGCCAAAAATTACAAGCAGGTATTTCTCCAAACAAGACAGATGAATGGCAAGTAAGTACACAGAAAGATGCTCAACATCTTCAGCAGTCAGGGAAATGCAAATAAGCCACAATGAATTACACTTTTACACTCACCAAAACAGTTAGCATCAAAATTAAGACAATAAGTGTTGGTGAGAATATACAGAAGACTTTACAAACCATTCATTCAACTGGGAAGTGGTATAATTGCTTTGGAAAACAAATTGGGAATTACTAAAAAGGCCAGGAAAGGACATGTATGTATGTTTGTAACAGCACTGTTAAAAGAGCCAAAAAGTGGAAAGAAACAAGTCAGTCAACTGACAAACAGATAAAAGGAATAGAGTCACATAATGAAGTATTACCAGCCTTAAAAAGGAAGGAAATACTAATACTACATGCTGCAACGTGGAAAACTTTAATAAACCTACATAAACTGAAAGAAGCTAGTTACACAAGGTCATGTATAATTTCCTTTATGTGAAATATCTACAATAACAAAGCTAGAGACAAAAATTAGCTGACAAGAAATTAAGAGTGACAGCAAAAGGATACAGACTCGTGAGGTGATAAAATGCTTTAAAATTAATTGTAGTGATAGATGTACAACCCTCAACATTAAATTCTAAAAAATCACTAAACTGAATAACTTAAAGTAGTGAATTGTTTGTTTTGAGACAAGACCTTGCTATGTGGTTCATGCTGGCCTAGAACTCACTATGCAATCCAGGCTAATCTGGAACTCAGGGCAATCCTCCTACCTCTGCTTCCTGCATGCTGGGATTACAGGCATGCACCACCATGGCTGGCTGAAAGTTTTATGACCCAAGAATTACATTCCAATAAAGCAATTTAAAAGTTTTTCCTAGTCCCGGTAGTACAGCTGCTGCTACCACCCTCCATCCATCTGTCCACACATTTGTCCACCTGCAACATGAGCGGCCTTCAGGTCTATAGGACATTGGCCACAGCTCCCAAGAAATCAAGTCCCAGCAGAGCAAAGTGGTGTGTATCCAGTATCAGCTAGCGGACATCTCCAAGGACAACACCCTGCGGGGATGAGATGAGAGCCGTGGCAGGCAATCCCAAGGCTACCCCTCCCCATATTGTTAATGGGTACCAGACTATAAGCTCTTCATTGAAGCTGAGGAACAGAACATATTGCAAGAATTCCTAAAACTGGCCTGAGTCAAGCCAGCCCACAGTTCCCATTGGACTCAGTGCCACATTTTCCCCACAGACCTCATCCAGCTTTGCAGGACATTGTGACCAACTCCCTTCAGTCCTAACTTTATTATCTTGGAGTCCTTTACCCTGGACTATAGCCTTCTCCTCCCTCTCTGTAACTTTCTCTCCTTCATTTAAAGGCAACATTTATCATCTATTAGTCTCAGAAATTATCTTAAAATAACAGCCCAAGGGCAGACTTTCCTCAGCCAAGCCTTGCAGCTGCTACACTGCTTCACTCTAGCTAGTAGGCACTTCTGTCTGGCTAAGGCCTGACAGAACACCTAGAACAATACCAACACCCCATACCAACACCCTAGAACAATTAAATGCCCATCTCATTGGTAATAAATAAATATTTTGCCTATTAATATATTATTGTTGTTACTATTATTGCTATGGTTACTGCTATTACATTAAAGCAGTACTAAGCATTTTCTCACATTCATTTAATTTCACAACAAACTTGGGAGGTATTACTGGCCTCTTTCACAGATGAGCACAGAGTGCCTCTGTGACTATAAAGAGCTTGCACTAGATGCACAGATAGTAATCAGCAAATCAAAGCTGATCATCACCACACCATCGCTGCCTCTTTTATTTCAGTTGTTTTGGGTTTAGGGAGAGGAAGAGAGAGGAGGAGAAAGGGCAGGGAGGGAAGACTAAAGTTTTACCTATAATTTCCCTGCAGATTCAATGTAAAGAGAGCTATTTTGACTCTCACATTACTCCTCTATAAATATTAAACCAATCTAAGAAGACCAGGGGTTAATAAGGCAAATTCCGTTTTAAAAAAGAGGAACTAGAGCACACCAGACAACTGTAACTTCCTTGGGCTATTGAGATCCAAGAAAAAAAAATTAAAATTACTTCTCACAAGTTCTCCATGGATTAAATGAAACTTAAAGGTGTCATACAGTATTCTATGCATCTTATAAAAATTAACTTTTTAATTAACTTTTAATCCTCATAAACAATCCCCTTAATTGACTCTTACTCATTTAATGTTAACCAGTTAAAATTATATCTGTACTATGTACTTAAAGTTAAGTATAAATTCTTTAAAGTTGTATGTCTCAAAATACAAACATGAGCTAGGTGTAGTGGCGCACACCTGCAATCCCAGCACTCAGGCAGCTGAGGCAGGAGGACTGCTGTGAGTTTGATGCTAGCCTGGGCTACTTAGTGAGACCCTGATTCAACAAACAAACAAAACTTCATACATCAAAACACAAATGCAAAGTGAATTTTTATATTGTATTACTATTAATATTACCCAGAATCCTCTGTAGATTCTTACCACGATTATGGTTCCATTCATGTGCTTCTCCTAAGTATTTTACATCAAACTGGTACTGTCCATTTATATAAAAATAATCATCAGTACTAAGAATAACTCCACTTGGATTATCTTCTTGCAAAGTCCTGTGAAAAAGGCAATTATTTATTAATTTTCCTTCTAAAATTCTCTCTTCTAAATTGTACAGTCAAAGAAAAATTTAAGTACCATTATTCATTACTTATTTTATTGTAATAATCATACTGGAAATCATGTAAACAAAAGTTTGACTCACAAAAAGCTGACCTAAGCCAAGTCTATTTTGTTTTATGTCTATTTAGTTTTTTATATAATAAATATATACATATATATATATATATATTTACATATTTTTCCCAAAAAACTGAAAACTTTTTGTTTTGTTTTGCTTTTTATGGTGCTAGAAATTGAATCCAGGACCTGCCATGCACTAGCCAAGCATGCTCCCACTTAGCTATATCTCATCACTTTCCTAAATTTTATTTTGAGACAGGATCTTGATAAATTGCCCAGGCTGGCCTCAAACTTGCAATCTTTCTGCTTCAGCTTCTTGAGTAGCTAGCTAAGTTACAGGCCTACACTACCACACTGAACTTGAATTTAATTTTTATTAGTATATACTGAGTGCCAGGTACTGTTTTAAAAACAAAACATTCACTAATAAACAGGGAAGTTCTTGCACTCACAAAGCTTACATTCTAGTGAATTCTTACTTGATGTCCACTTTTAAATTATCATCTTTTAACTGTTCCCTGTACTCAAAATAAAGTATTCCCTTCTGACACCTCTTCTTTTCCTTTTAAAGGGTGTATCTGAGAGAAATAAATTGTTAATTTGTAGCTATATTCTGAGACCCCTTTCAACTATTACATAACTTCTCTTCTTCCCTTAATTTCCCAATGCTTCCTTTCCATTTATCTTCTCTCTAGGACAACAAAAGTGTCTTTTTAAAATACTGACTCATTACCTCCTTTCCAAAATTCCAAAAGCCTCATTTTTCATCCCTCATTTTCTCTGAGCTCACACCTTAGTTCAATGCTGAGGACCATTCTCACTGGGAAAACCTAATTTGTATGGCTGCACTATCCAGTTATTTCTCTCTTCATTGAGAAAAATTGTTCCTATTTTGTGCCAAATACTTCTTTTTCTTCCCACTCTCAAACAATAGCTGCCTATAATTTGAGTGCCCCTGAAATCTAGTTCTACAAACCTGTCTGAAGACTCTATTAACATTTTTAGTTTTGTCTTTTTGAGACAAGGTTTTGCCATGCAGTTTAGGCTGCCCTTGAACTCATTTTGTAGCCCAGGTTGGCCTCGAATTCAGTGATCCTCTTGCCTCAGCCTCCTAAGTTTTGGGATTACAGGCATGCTCCATCATACCCAGCTACTATGACCTTTTAAGGTGCTGCCTTTCATTCCACTCTCTTTCCCAAAATGTAATACTATGACTGTAATACATTTAATATTAAATTGTTTTAATATTGACATTAAATCAATTAGAAAAGCTTATGATATCTCTACAGAATATGGTTATAAATGTATCAACAAATATGTGAAAATGTACTGAAGATAAATCTAGACAAATAAATGCTACCAAAAAAAAACTAAAGGGCCAGGGAGATGGTGCAGTAGAATAAGAGCTTGCCTGGCAAGTGCAAGGGTCTGAGTTCAATCCCCGGTTCCGCAAAAAAATAAAATAAAACAACTAAAAATTGAACCAACAAAGCACATTAAGCATTGTTATGTTTTGTGTCTAGCTGTCCCCCCAAAGGATCATGCAATCATGAGGTGGCTTCTGGAGTGTGTGACTGATTATTATGGATGTGGATGCTGCACCTGCCCTGGAGCACGTAATTTGCAATACTACATAAGGAGGCTCTGGAGGGAAAATAGCTAGCTGCCTGAGCTGCTGCCATTCCTTTTGCTCTCTTGCTCTTTGCTACCTTTTGCCATGGCCACAAACAGCTGCTCTCTGCCATGTGCCACCCTGCCTTGGAGCCAGCTGAGTATAGACTGAAACCTCCACTGACTGTGAACTGAATAAACCTTTCTTTCCTTCATTTTGAGTGTCAGGTAGTTGTCCCAGCAACAAGAGAAGAATAACTGAGACAAGCATATATCTATGCATACCTTTTTTTTTTTTTTTAATACCAAGAATCGAACACAGGGCCATGAACTTGCCAGGCAGGCACTGTGCCACTGAGCTATATCCCCAGAGATACATATACTCTTTAAGACTATATATACTCAGACCAAATATAAAAGACCTAACTAAAAATAGAGGAGTGCAAACAGAATCTGAGGAAGGGAAAAAGAAAAACAGAGAGACAGAGAAATAAAATATGTCAGGTATAAACCTCCTGGAATATAAAGACTAAGAAGGGTGAGAAGGAATTAAGACAACCAACTTCAACACTCTTGAAGGCATGTCACTGAAACCATAACAAGGCAAAGAGAAACCCTAAGAGTTCCTACATCGAGGTACACTCACAATCTACCTTAACCAAAAAGCACACATCAGCAGAGATCAGAAAATAACTGCATGTACCACGTTTTGTGACAAATACATCTGTGAAAACTAGAAGTTCTGACTTCCAATGTTTATATTACACTCTTTCCTTCAAATAACGTACTTCTAAAAGCAATATTTAACAACATACTATATATCAAATTTCCAACTGACAGTAGAATTCATGTATTTAAGACTTCATTTCTATAAATTCAAAGCATTATGGCTTTTTAAGTCCATGATTTAAAGTTGAATTTCACCTTTTGTGCATTGAAAGTACTTATCTTCCATAAAAAGCTATGTCTGTTGACTTCACAAGCTCAAATTCATGAATTATCTCTGACTTTTTTTTTCTTCTATACAGTCTCTCAAAAGATCATAGTGGGAGGGCTGACCTGATAGCTCACTGGACTAAATCCCCGCTTAAGCAGAGCATAGTGGCTGGGATTCAATCCCGGGTGTACTCTGCTGGCCCTGCCCCCAGGGCACACTGAGGCAGCTACTGAGACTGGGCGCAGTGGTGCGCGCCTGTAATACCAGCGCTTGGGAGGCTGAAAACTGGAGAATTCACTACAAGTCCGATCTATGTAGTGAGACCCTGTAGATCCTGTCCTAAATACAAGAAAAGAAGGAAGGAAGGAAGGGAGGAAGGAAGAGGGGAAGGAAGGAAGGAAGGAAGGAAGGAAGGAAGGAAGGAAGGAAGGAAGGAAAAGAAAAGGAAGAGAAAGAAAGAAAGAAAGAAAGAAAGAAAGAAAGAAAGAAAGAAAGAAAGAAAGAAAGAAAGAAAGAAGAGAAAGATAATAGAGAGGAAAGGGTTAAAAAAAATTGTGGAAAAAAGTGTTACTAGGGCCGGCCAATATGTAATTGTTTGTTATTTTTTTTAATTTTTTTTGTTTTTCTTCACATTCTGTAGGGATTTAAAGTTTAACATCAACACTTGATGGAAAATACCTGTTCCATGTTATGTCTAAGATGTTTGATACTCAGACAGATAGTGAGGTTAAGCTCAACTGCCTGTTTCACAGGATAATAGTATCATTAAGCTTTTCTTCTGGAGGCTTAACAACTTAAGTTTGCAGACCAAAAATTAGAGAAAAAGGGGCTGCAAGAACAGTCAATATTTTGGCCCTAGCCTTTCAAGGTCAGTGAGGACTCAGGACATACGAGAACCTATACTGTAACATCCTGTAACTCAGTGATGGGTCCCAAATTTTCTGATCAAGGAGCTTATGGGGCCACAGAGGAAAGTGATCAATGATGTAGAGTGTGCCTAAAGAGACTCACATGGACAGTAAACGTTCTCTCAGGCTTTCACAGAGAGCCAAGTGGTCAAGCAATGACTGTGACTCATCCACATGGCTGACACTGACAAAGGATCTACAAACCATGGTACAAGGTTTCATGTTAAATCCTGAGGGGATTTGACTGACCTTGGCAGATATAAAAGTTAAATTTCTTGTTACATAGGTCTTGCTTCATGTTGGTCTTAACCATCCAGCAGAAAAGTATAAAAACGAGGTATAAAAAGTAAAGCCATATTAATATGCTAAGCTGTAAAAGGCTCAAGTCAACAACTTCTGACATTGCCAGTCCTACAGATAACCCACTACAATTATGGACTACTGGACTATACTGGATTACTTTGCTGAATCCACGCACCTACAATATTTAAATGGTAATGGAATAACCATCTCTGACAATACTAAACAAAAAAAGGGGATATAAATGAAGGACCATTTTGTATCTGTATATACAAAATAGGATAGATATACAGCTACTTTCTCTTAATTCAATGAGAAAAAAGATTTGTACTAATAGTGTTTGGACGGGATATCACGTCTGCATCTTGTACAGACATAATGAATGATCATTATGAAAACAACAATATGCAATTTATTAATTATTGAAACTGTCCTACTAATTGGTTTTGAAACTGTCTCACTGCTATTTGTTTCTCAATAAAATTAATTAAAAAAAATAGCTCATCAGATTAAAGTACCTGAAAGCAGGCACAGGGGCCTGGAGTTCAATCTCCAGGCCTGCCGCATCAGCCCTGCCCTTCCTGAGGGGCACTCCCCACCCAAGTGGCATGCTGAGATGGCAATTGAGACTGGGCATGGTGGCACGCACCCGTAAGCCCAACTCTTGGGAGGCTACAAACAGGTGGATCACTAAGAGTCTGATTTAGTAGTGAGAACCTGTAGACCTTCCCTAAAAAAAAAAAAAAAAAAAAAAAGTGTCATTAGCTACAAAGCTAATATAGCTCAGTGGCATGTTTCTGTGGCAAGTGGAAGGTCCCAAGTACCGCAAAAAAAAAAAAAAAAAAAAAAAAAAAAATCATAGCTATAAAGCTAGAAACATTAGTAAAAAAAAATACTTTAAGAGGTCACAAACATCTCTGCTAGGCAGAGTTTCAGATATTCACATTATCTACTTGCTCACACATATGCATTATACTTTTTTAAAACGTCATACCTTGCCAAAAATGATTTTCCTGATCCTGGAAGCCCTCTGAGAAGAACAAGAACTAGTCCAACATAAGATGTTGTCTTTTTTCTTACAACTTGAGAAACGGCAGCCTCTTGTATTTGAAAAGCGCTTGCTCCCTTTTGATTTCTCCATACTTTTGTTGGGGAAGTGTGAGAAATGACTGAGCGTGGAAATGCGTATTTGACAGGTCTCCAGTGTGCAGCTGCAGTTACAACAGGCGCTACAAAGCCATGGTGTCCTTGAAAGAGGTCAAAAGTAGGAATCACTGGATTCCACATTTGTGGTGGTGGTGGTGGTGGTGGTGGTGGTGGAGGTGGAGGTGGAGGTGGAGGTGGAGGAGGAAGAGGAGGAAGCAATAAAGGGACAGTGCCAAGTACTGGGCAGTAATTCACATCCTTCTCCTTTGATGGCAGTTCAGTATGTTTGTGTGGCTTAAAATTAAACCCTTCAGAAGGTACAAAAACATCAGGGACAGAAATCAATTTCTCATCCCTACCTGTACCTACTAAGTTAAGCTCTGGATTCTGTATAAGGTTTAAAGGACCCTGAGGTTCATTAGTATCCAAATCTAGAGTGGCTTGAAACAGCTGAGCCTCAACACAACTGGAATCTAAAAATACCTTCTGTCTTTGATTGAAATTGTTACAACCCACATTATAGTCATTTACTACGTTTAAAGAACCACCAAGAAGAGAATCTTCTAGACAGTTAGGTTCCAGTGCCAATATGTTATCCTTCATAAAACTTTTGGATTCACTCAAAACTGAATGTGACGTTAATGGTTCTGAATTTAATGCAGAGGCAGAAATCCCGACATTTTCACTGTTCGCATCCATATTTTGTGTAGAAAGAACAGTAGTCATATTATTTGAACGTGATTTTATAAACTGACTAGAGTTATTAAGACTATTAACATCTTGCAAAGGCAAAAATGAGCATGCTTGGTCAGAAGAAGAGTTCAATTTCTCAAAGGCATTCTCTATTAAGGAATCCATTTCTTCAGGTAGCTGCACATCCAAAACTGAATTCAGTTTTGAAACTTCACTCTCTTCTTCATGTGGACACGTCTCCATTATTTCACTTAGCTGGTTCTCTGAAGCAACAAACGTTTTTGAAGATGATTCTTCTACCTTGGCGTCCATGGCAGATAATTCTAACAGACAATCCATGGCATTTTCAACTGCAGAACAAGAACAACAACAAAAGTAAGATATAACTTACTTGAAAAAAATTTGATATAAACTCATTAAAAGGAAAAATACTGGATTTTTGTATTGAATGGAACACAGAAAAATTAGTAATATTCAACTAAGTTTTTTAAAATTGTTTTGCTAATAATACACCAAGTCTGTAACAGTGAAAAGTTCCAATGCTGGGAGACATGCAACATTGTTCTTCCACTAAAGCAATAGTAAAAAGTTATCTGTAATTGCATGTATGAGGATTATATTTATAAAGATCCTAATGTCTGCCTATTTATACAACTACTTACCAAATTATGTAAATGGTCCATGCTATAAATTTCACTTCATAGAAAGAATATTTATGAACATGTACTACTATTAGGAATACTTTATACATGGTCTTTACAACACTCAAAGGATTTTGTAGTTTAGTGAAAACTGAAGACAATTACAGTACAGTAGTACCTTGATTCACAAACTTAATTTGTTCCATGATTCTGGAAAAGATGGCCATATTCATGTTTATGCAGGAAAGATGCCTGCAGTCCTGTTTGTCACTTGATGCAGAGCTAACAAAAACAAATTTTTGCTTAACACTTTTGTTTGTGAACTAAACTGTTTGCAAACAAAAACACTTATGTACCAAGGTACAAGATAATTCATAATATAATATAGATTAAGTAATTTATTTTTCAGACGAAGTGCCTACTTAGGCAAGCACAGACTTGGGATTTGAGCCCCAGTATCACATGCACGTCGGCCCCACTCCCAGGGCATGCTGAGCCAGCCACCAAGACCAGGCATGGTAGCACACATCTGTAATCCCATCACTGGGAAGGATGAAAACAAGAAGATCACTATGAGTCCAAACTGTGTAGTGAGACCCTGTACCAAATACAAAGAAAAAAAAAAGTATATTTTTGATAATATATAAATGTCAACAGTATTTAGGAGACCAACGAAGATTTCATATAAACTGATATGTAGGGTGCTGGGGAAATGGCTCAATAGAATAAGAGCTTGCCTAGCAAACACAGGGGCCTGAGTTCAAAACCCCGGTTCTACCAAAAAAAAATAAGTAAATAAATAAATAAACAAACTGATATTTAGGGGGCTAGGGAGATGGCTCAGTGGACTAAGCACTTCCCTGGCAAGCGCAAGGGCCTGAGTTCAATGCCCAGTTCCACCAAAAAAAAAAACAAAAAAACAAAAACTGATATGCAAACTGGCACTTGAGGATTAAAAAGCAACTTGCCAAACAGAGAAAGAGATAAAGCCAAGCTTAAAAATTCAAAATATGTTTAAGGTGTTAACAAAAAGTCACCTGAAGAGAGAGGACACAGTGTCATGTATGGGAGATAAGAAAAGATAAAACTGGAGAGGAAGACTGGGTTAAACTGGGAATGGTCCTACATGTCATGCTAAGAAATCTGAATTTTATTTACTAAGCAAACTTGAATGAAAATTACCAGTCATCACATTTGGGCTAGAAGCTTTATACAAATCACCTCACTGAATCCTCATATAAGACTATGAGGTATATCATCCTAACAAATAGATGAGGAAACTGAAGCTCAAAAAATACATTATGTCACACAGACAGTAAGTAAGAACCAGGACAAATGTGTCTGACTCCAATGCTGAAATTTTTGTTATAACACAAATATTAGGGGCTGGAGAGATGGCTCAGTGGTCTAAAGCACCTACTTGGAACAAGCTTAGCAAAAGCATCAGGGACCGCGGTTCAGTCCCCCAGCACCACATGCCAGCCAGCCCTGCCCCCTGGTGGGCTGAGCTGTGAGCTGGCCACAACACTCACTCTCTCTCTCTCTCTCTCTCTCTCTCTCTCTCTCTCAAATAAATAAACAAATATTAATGAGCCAGTAAAACTTTTAAGCATTTGAGGACTGAGGATGTAGTGCAGTGGTACAGTACCTGTTAGACATGCATAAGGCCCTGGATTCAATCATGAGCACAAGAATGATGATGATGATGATAATTTCCAAACATTTTAAATGTGTTTTTAAAATTTTATTTATTTATGTGTTATGTCTTGTTTTGTTTTAAAAAAGCAAAACTTGTAAGTGGTACAGCATGAGGTAACAGCTCTGGTCTGCAGTCAGGACACCAGCATTTAAATTCCTACTTGCTGGCTATGACACTTTGAACAAGTTAGCTAACCTCCACTAAGCCCTACTTTTCTCACTTGTAACATGGGGATAATAAAAGTACCTACCTCATAGATTGTTGTGAGGATTAAATGAGATAATCCATGAAAAAGTATGCACAAGGACTGGCACCTAGTAAGCACCCAATTAATGTTCCCTTAAGAAGAAAAACAAAGAGGGATTGGAGGGGCAAACCTGGCAGATAGACCATACAGGAGATCACAGTAATACTACAAAGGAAAGAAGCCCTAAAAATGGAAAGCTAAGGGTAAAATGAAAAAGCAAACAGAAGAGATATTTCTATGAAAAAATATTTAAGACTGAAAACCCTGAAAAGACCAACTGAAAAAAATTAACATATATAAAATGAAAAACAGCATTAAGTAAAGTAAGAAATCAAGACAGATAACTGTCACACAAAAAGAAAATTCCTTAAACTGTTGGAAAAAATACTATGAAATAAAAAAATTTATGAAAGAATGTAAGAATAAAAAATGTACAGAAATGTTCAGTTTCCCTTCATGAAAAAGAAACTTAAGAAAAGGTGCAATTTTATTCTGATTACAATCTTAAAATAATTCCACACAGTGCTGAGGAGGCCAATGGTGCAAGCACTACACTTATACAGTGCCAGTGGGATTACAAATCAGCATGCCTCACTGGTGGGCAATTTAGCAGTACCTTTCCAAGATCTGAAAACTGTTCTTTGGCTGTGATGCAGAAAATAAAACTTTAGAACTAAAAAAGCCAAAAGGAAGAAATGGCTATTTTTACCAACATGTTCTTTATAACATTAATTATTCATGAAAAACCTAGGTATAAATAACTAAAGCAAAGAACTCTTAAGGCTATTATTAAAAACTAAAATACATATTATAACTTCAAAAGTTTATATATTAAATTTTAAGGGCTGGGGAGATGGATCAGTGGAATAAGCGCTTCCCTGGCAAGTGCAAGGGCCCAGTTCCGCAAAAATAAATAAATAAATTAAATTAAATTTTAAAAGCAGAATATGAAATGTCATTAATGCTACCACTCAAACCACTTAAGTATCAAATGTTTATAAAAAAGTATTTATATAACAAGGACTACAGAAGATCCTAAAAAAGAGAAATAAATTGTTAGGATATAAGATAATACAGTTTTCTTATAATTCCTCATTGCTATGTTAATTTATATGCAACAAATTTTAAAGAAATAAAAATTAGGAAACAACAGAACAAAAAAAATTCTATATTCTATCATTCCTGAACACCACCGTGCACTGCATGAATTTGTTTTCTACATACCAGAATACATAAGATATGCCCTACAACATAGCTCACAAAATTAAAAATGAAAGTTTTATTATGTATTACCAAAACCTTCAAATCCAATTTTATCTTATACATCATGGCCAGTGTGACACTAATCCCAGTACCTGAAGGTTGAGATATGAGGATCACCATGAGTTTAAGGCCAGCCTGGGGCATATAGTAAACTCAAGGCAAGCCTGAACTACCTAGTGAAATCTTGTCTCAAAAAAAAAAAAAAAAGGGGGCAGGGAGATGACTCAGTAGACTAAGTACTTGCCTGGCTAGCACAAGGTCCTGAGTGCAGTCCCCGGTACCAAAAAAAAAAAGTAGTAGAAAGTTATCAATGACAAGAAAGATTTGGACTAACAGTGTTTAGACAAGATATCATATATGTATATTGTACTATGAATAACTACTATGAAGACAGCAATATGCAATGTATTAATTATTGTAACTATCCTACTAACCTGTTTTGAAACTGTCTCAATGCTATTTCTTTCTCAATTAAAAGAAGAAAAAAAAAAAAAAAAGCCAAGCATGGTAGTGCACGCCTATAATCCCAGCACTCACCAGGCTTGAAGTAGGCAGATCACTGAGAGTTTGAGGTTAGCCTGGCCTCAAAGTGAGTTCAAGGACAGCTTGAATTGCCTAGTGAGACACTCTCAAAAAAGACCAAAAACAAAACAAAAAGATTAATGATGGCCAATAACAATACTGACTATAACATTTAATTTATTCACCTAGCTAATTTAATTTAGTCTTTTCTATATGTAAGCATGCTTTTAAACTTAGTACAAGTTACTATACTGACAACCTGACTAGAAAAAAGAAAAAGAAAAGTCAATCTTCACCAAAAAGTCCTATATGATACATACTATTACTTTTCATCAACAGGTTAGAAAACAGACAATTAGTAGCAGAACTAGAAATCTAAACCAGGCCTCCTGACTCCAAAACCAAAGTTTTAAAATCACTCTACTAGCTTTAGCTCTTAATCAGCTTTTATTTGCACAATCACAAAGACCTAGCTGCTACTAACTCCTAGGAGTTGTTATTTTAAGAGTTGAAAATACAGAAGGAAAGCAGTTTGTAAAATCTGCCTTCATGGAGCTTATATTCTAGGACATGGATTCTCAACCAGGTAAAATTTTGACCCCTTTGATAACAGAAATTTTTGGTCATCACAAATAGGGGGTAGAACACTCCTGGCATCTAGGAGGTATGCTACAAAATATTCTACAATGGAGAGCCAGTCCCAAAAAAGAATTATCCAGCCCAAAATATCAAGAGTGCCAACCTGTTCTAGAGAAAACATAAAGACGTAGAACATGACATTTATACCTGTATCTTGCATCTAGAACTGTACATTTCTTAAGAGCAGAAATTCAGTCTTATTTTTTCTTCATATCCCTCATAATCCCAAACTTGGTACCTTGTCCATGGCAGATGTTTAATAACAAACAAAACTGAGTTATTTTTTATATTACTATTAGTCATAACATACATGTCTTCTTATAAGATGTAAAGTGTCCAAACTAAACTTTTTCTCACCTTTGAAATCACATTCAGAAAGCATCAAATACACTACATCAGGATCCAGATCAGAAAACATCTCTGAGATATTGGTGAAGAGTTCTTCCTGATCAATTTTTGTCTCACACATAGAAAGAAGAGTGGTGCTTGGCTCCTCATGACTAGTAACACCGGATACGACAACTTCCTTAGAGTTTGTAGTCTTCCGAAAAGGGTTTCCCCCAAGATTTTTCCTTTTTCTTGGCATACTGACTTCCAAAACTAAAATGCTTCCCCTTTATAAAATTTAAGATGTTTGGTATTTAAATCATAATTCAAAAAACATAGGGTTAAAATCTTGCACAATCCAGCAGTAATAGGACCTAAAATAAAAAGCAAGTAAAATCACTGACTATATAGTTATATTTCTATCTCTAAAATTGGAATGACAACTTCATATAACTAAAAAAGTACCATCACATCTAGCAATAAAGCCAAAATGTGGTCAAACAATTTGTTTCTTCAAATTATTCCAGTTTTGGAAGAATTGAACATGTTAGAAATTAAGATATTAACAAAACATAATGTATTTCAGGAAAATGAGTACAGTTTTAATATCATTATTACATAAAACAGCATCCATACATACAATTAGAATACCTATGAACACTTATACTCAGATGTCTAGCAGGCGTCATAAATTTGTGTCTTAAAACTGAGCTGCTCCTGATTACTTCTCTTCAAGCCTGCTTTTTTCCCAGTCTTTCAAACCTCAGTAACTCTAGTCATGTAATTGCTAAGGCTGTAACTCTTGGAATAATTCTGACTTCTCTCATCCAAGTGTTAAGCCAGTTTTGAAAAGTAACCCCCAAAACATATCTAGAATAGGATCATTCCTTACATCTCCACTCTGTAGACTGTCAGTCTTTTGCCTGGATTACTCTAATAATCTAACCAATTTTCCTGCTTCTGCTTTTGCCCCTTTAGGGTTTAGCACTGTAGGCAGAATGGCTCAGTGAAACTGATGGCTGGATTATGCCTCCTTCTGCTAATCTATCCACTAACTTTCCATTTTAGGATGAAAGGCAGAAGCCTTAAAATGGCCCACAACCCAGATACTGTTGCCTCTGTACTTACTGTCATTCCAAAACCCTCCTTCCCTCCTTTGTTCATGCCACTCCAAAGAGGCAGACTTAGCCTCTTTGCTCTTCTTCAACATAGTCATTCTCTTACCTGGGAACCTTTACACCTTGGCTCCCTCTACCTGAACTACTTTTCTCCCATCTATTTCCTTACTAGCTTCCTGGAGCTCAATTCTTCAACTCACTAACCCACTTTCCCTACTTGAATTTTTCCACAGTACCTATCTTCTGATATGGTATATGTTTTATTTATTTACTGAGTTGACCATCCTTAGTCCAGTAGAGGATACACTCCACAAAGGCAAGAATTCACATATCTGGAGTAGAACTATGATTTCCTTACTTTCTCTGTTTGTATCTGTCTTATAACATTTCAAACTTAAAAGACCCAAAATTACATATCTGGTATTTTTCCCCAATTCAATTCTAACCATTTGCTCTAACTCCCATCATCTTTTCTGTGTGTTCCCATCTCCTAATTAATCTCCTTGCTTGTGTCCTTGTCCCCTACATTCTATTTTCAACATAACCAGAATGATCAAGATTTGCTCTAAACCCCCAAGTTGTAAAAGCTAAAGCTGTTACAATGCCCTATGTCCCTGTTAGTGCTTGATATACACTTTCCCAAGACAGTTACATTGCTTACTTTCTCATACCTTCCAATATTCTATTCTAGTACCACATTCAATGCTTTGTGATACTAGTTTATTTCAACAGCTGGGAGGGTACTGGGAATCAAACTCAGGACCTTGCACTTACCAGGGAGGCACTACGCTATTGAGCTAAATTCCTACCCCCTACTGACCCATCCCCGTATTCATTGATTTTTGATCCTGAGTATTCAACTGAAAATCAAATACTGCAATCTCTTTGCTCCAGTCTCCCACTTCTGCTACCATCCACTGCCTTTAATCACATTCTACCATAAAATTTACCCTTTAATTAAATTTGTGTCATAGCTTTCTCCACCTTTCACAACTGCACTGTCAGTATGGCAGCCACCAGACATGTGTGCCTATTTAATCAATTTAAATTAAATATGTTTTCATACATAAGAATTCAAAACAAAATTAACAGAAACAGAAAAAAGATATTACATAATGATAAAGTATCCATCCACCAGGAACATGCAAGAACCCTAAATGTCTGAGTAACAAACCAATAGCGACAAAACAAGAAAAGAACAGAACTAAAGGGAAAAAGAGACAAGTACATTATAGGTTGATTTTTAATATTGCTCCAATAACAATTTATAAAAGCTATTAGAAAATCCTAAGGATACAGAACTAAACAGTAAGAACAATTAACGATCTGATCAACACTGTATCCATAGAACATTCCACCCAACAGCCCCAGACTCCACATTCTTTTTCAAAAGCCCACAGAACCACTACTAAGATACAGCATAATATAAGCTACATGACAAACCTTAACCATCTTGAAAGCACTGAACATACAGAGTACATTTTTCAATCACATAAATAAAAGTAGAAATGAATAACAGACAGATAAGAGAAAAATCTTCAAATGGAAGCAAAGCAACATACTTCTAAACAAACTATGGGTCAAGGATGACATCTCAAGTAAAATGTTTAAATACACTGAAATAAATGAAAATTAAAATGCATCTCATAAAAATTTACAGGATACATTTAAAGAACTGATGACAGGAAAATTTATAACACTAAATAAATACTACTAAAACAGTGAGGATGTCCACCTTAAGAACTTTTATGCAATATAAGGGAGGATCTAGCTTTTGAAATGAACTAGAAAAGAATACTTCAATCAATAATCTAAGTTTCCTCAAGCATGGTGGTGTAGTATCCAGAGGCCAGAGTTCAAAGCCAGTCTGAACTATGTAACAAAACATTATCTCAAAAACACAAAGCAAACAAAAAAAGAGATCTTGTCTCAAAAAACAAACAATCTTAGTATCACACGAAGCTTGAAAAAGAAATGCAAAATAAACGCAAGTCAGCAGGAAAAAAAAGGATGAATGAAAACAAATATAAAGAAACTGAAACAGGAAAAAGAAAAGAAAAAATGAATTTCAAGGGCCAGCCAAATAGCTCAGTGGATTAAAGCGCCTGCAAGCAGGCGCACAGGCTAGGGTTTGAACCCAGGCCAGGCCTGCCATGCCAGTCCTGACCCAAGGGCCACTGAGAGGCAACTGAGACTGGGCGTGGTAGCACACGCCTATAATCCCAGCTTTTGGGAGGCTGTAAATAGGCAGATCACTAGAGATCACTAGAGTTGATCTAGTAGTGAGGCCCTAACACCCTGTAGACCCTTCCCTAAAATTAAAAAAAAAAAAAGAATTTCAAATAGCACTCTTCACCGGTCAATAAAATTGACAAACCTAGCTGAAAGAAAAGTGAGAAAAGACAGAAATTCTCAATATCAGTAATAAAGCAGGGCCGGCCCGATAGTTCAGAGGACTAAAGTGCCTACTTAGGCAGAGCACAGCGGCCGGGCTGCCTTGCCGCCAACGTGCTGAGACAAAGATTGAGACTGGGTGTGGTGGTGTGTGCCTGTAATCTCAGTATTGGGTGCTTGGGAGGCTGAAAACAGGAGAATCACTATAACTTGTATCTACATAGTGATTTAGACCCTGTCCTAAAATTCATTTAAAAAAAAAAAAGGAATAAAGCAGATATCATCACGGATTCTACAGATATTGGAAAGCTAATACAGGAAAACATTAATTATACACATACAAATTTGACAATTTATATAAAATTAGCCAGTTTCTCAAAACTACACAGTACCAAAACTCATACTTTATATTTAATTCAATTCACAATTTTAAAACAAAAAATCCAGGATCAAGTGGCTTGAATGGAGAAGTTTGATATTTTCATGAAAAGTAAGAGCTAGGCATGGTGGTGCACACCTGTAATCCCAGAAGGGGGGAGGCTGGGGCAGCAGGATCATTGGGAGTTCGAGAACAGTCTGGGCTACAAAGTAAGCTCAAGGCCAGCATGAACTGCATAGCCAGACTCTGCCTCAAGAAGACAAAAGAAAAAGAAAAATTAACACTATTTCTATAAAGTATCTTCCAAATAATGAGAGGAAACAGGGCCAGGGAGATGGCTCAGTGGAATAAGCATTTCCTTGGCAAGCGCAGGGCCTGAGTTTAATCCCTGGTTCCACAAAAAAAGAAAAAATTTTAAAAAAAAGAGGAAACACTTTCAACTCATTTATAAAGCTAATACTGTTGCAGGCAGCCGAGTTAGACAGAAATATTATAGGCAGTCAGACAGGGCCAGGCCCTCAAGGAGACAAGATGGAAGACAAGGTGACTTTGTAACTTGGAAGAGGCAGACACTCCCATATGGGCCACACCTGAACACCAAGACAAAAAGCACAACTACATACTTCCCTAGGGATGGGCATCAGGGATTGATATTTTAAATGGGTATCAATCACCTTGAAAGATATTTTGCTGAATTCATGCACCTACAGTACTTAAATGACAATGGAATGCCCTTCTTTGACAAAACTAACCAAAAAAGGGGGATACAAATGAACAACCATTTTGTATCTGTATACTCAAAATAGGATAGATATACAGCCCCATTCTCTTAATTCAAAGAATAGAAAGGTTTCTTCTAATAGTGTCTGAGACAGGATATCAGGTCAGCATCTTGTACAATGAATAACCACTAAGACAACAATATACAATGTATTAATTATTGAAAATGTACTAGTAATTGGTTGTGAAACCGTCTCATTGCTATTTGTTTCTCAATAAAAATATTTCCCCCCCTTGGTGGCATAGTTTTTTTATTTTTTTTTGCCATAATTTTATTGATAAATAGCAATGAGACAGTTTCAAATCAATTCGGTAGGTCAGTTTCAATAATTAACACACTGCATACATTCTTCTTAGTGGTTAATTGCTGTACAAGATGCGGACTTGATATCCTATTTACAAACACCATTAGAACAAATCATTCTATTCATTAAGAGAATGTAACTATATATCTATCCTAACCACTTTGAATACACAGATACAAAATGGCTGTTCCCCTTTTTTTGTTAAGTTCCGTTATTTTAATATTATAGGTGTGTAAACTCAGCAAAATGTTCTAAAAGAGTAGCCCATAATAGTATTGGGTCTTCCGCTTAACTGGCAATGCCAGAAATTGTTGACCCGAATAAAAATATTTTTTAAAAAGTTTTTTAAAAAGTTAAACAACACACACAAAAAAATCTAGCAAAATTCATCCATTCAA